TTTGAGGTTGGTGTTTATAAAAAAGGCATAAATATTTCCAATTGTATGTTTATTATATAACAGGTTAAATAGCTAAAAATAAATAAATACTGGCCGAAAAAGCTATGCTATACCTGGGCGACGTGTCTACCGAATTGGTGGAGCGGTCGCCAACCGGCACAGATGTAAGTTCCTGTCAGATCGAAGATATTTTCTTTGTATTAATTAGTAGAGTAATTTCACAAAAAATAAATAAATATCATGGCAGAAGAACATCATATTATGTATTAGAATGAATAATAAAAAGAATAATTGTGAAAAATCTGATTCAGAATATAATATCCTTTAATATCACTTCATCGTCGGAAAGGCAATTATTTTAAGTAATTTTTTTAAAAGGTTTTTTTGATTTATTTATCCTTGCAATGACTTTTTTACAAATAAAATAAGGTTCTCCCAAACTTCATGAAAGTTTATCGGGAGGTTTTGGTTGCTACGCTTAATATTACAGTTACATAAACACATAAACATTACACTCAGTTACCATTATAGTTTTTCAATATTCACCTACATTGTATCTAACAAATATTTTTTTATTTCTTTTTTAACAGACTTTTTACTAACTTTAATGTTTTTTAATTGTGGCGGAAGACAGTAAAACAATGTTGGAATTAAATAGTCCTTAATTCTTTTACCATACACGTTATTTGTTTTAAAAGTTTCATAGCTACCTATCATAGCTTGTCTTGTTGGATATTTATAATTATTTGATACTTTCTATTCATGACAGAATATTCATAGTCTTGTAATATTTGAGAAGGCAAACATTTTTTTCAACAGGAATTATCTTACGTAATTTAATAGAACAGTGTATAGAAAATGAAACTATTTTTTTCGAATCTAAATCATTTCGGGACCGGTAAAGGGTCACGGGTGTCTAATTATTTCCATTTTCATTTAGATATCTTTGTTAAATACCTAGCATCTATTATATTTTAACCTTAACTCCTTTTACTTTTTAGACTCAGCTGAATGAACGAAAACGTATGCCAGACTGTGTAAAGAAACTACCTACCAGATAAGAATCTGTCACCTTTGTGTTGTCTCCCGAATTTCAAAATGGCTACCGTAAAACATAACGATTTCCCACAAAAAAATGTCAGAAAAATTAAAATCTAAGACCTGGCAGTACGACCAATGAGACGCCTGTCCTGAAGAACGATATAAAAGTGCATTTGACCTCCATTTCACCAGATGAAAAGTGACAATGAGGTCGACGATCATTCATGTCTAATATAATATCATTGCATGTACACCTGAATAATACCTATTCACTCTCGCCTTGAAAGGTCCAAGTTATAACAATTCTATAATAAACAATCCTTATTTCATAATATTAATACTCGTATTATAAAGTATTCATTCGTAAAATGATTCCTCTGGGACAAATGAATAAGACCTAATCTATTGTAAATAAGGGGCAATCTTCAACTCGTCCCTCTCTCCCGCTTTTCTCTCGCAACCTATGAGGATTTTACAATGACGACAAATTGGCCCCACAGGGAACCTTCAAGCTCAACTCCGTATTGTTTTAAAATGGTAACACTAATCTCTCTATAATGAACTTGTTAATTTGAAAGCTTTCTACAATATTTCTTTTTAAAATATACTTTCCTCTTGGGATATTTTGCGAAGAATAAAAATAACTATGCCTTGTCAGACTGAACTTATTTTAATGATGTCCTAGTTTTAAAAGCCTTTAAAACTGTTTTAATAAGGGAATACTTTGTTATTGATACAAAGAAAAATTTATTCGATCTAGCTGGACGCGAAGTCAAATTCAAAGTCAAAGTCATATAATCATTTATTACATAGGTAAAATTTTTACACTTGAAAACGCTTTTAAGGCACTGCTGGTTCACTGCACTTACTTCCCTGAGAAGAACGCGCAAGATACTGTAGGGATTGCTTTTTTCAAATATTTTTTTTATGATGCCAAGCAGGACGAATAACTCCGCTGCTACTAAACGACGTCGACATCGAAGTCGATTAATGTTGAAGAGATTGTACATTGTGATTAGGATCACGACAATAAAATAGAATTGTGTGGACCGGAGTCCACATAATTCATTTCATAAGTAAAGTCAAAAGAAAAAAGTAAGGCCCGAAGGGACGTGGTCGGGGCGTGCTAGTTTGTATGAACTATGGGCCCGTCCCGACGCCGGCCCGGACACGGACATGTGTGGATAGAGCTTTACACAATAATACTAGGTTAGATTGGTATTAAAATTGGCACATGATTTAGATTGGGAACTGGTAAAAGGCTCAAAATTAGACGAGCAGCACTGCTCGCTACAGCGCAGCTGTGTGCTCAATAGCACACAGTGACGACGGGACAGAGACAAAGTGAGGATAACGGGGCAAAGGAATTAAAGAACGATTCAAAATTTGAAAACAAGTGGCCAGGAATCAGAGAAAAGGTGATAAAACGGTAAGATGACAATGGAAGGAGGTCACATCATCACAACGTTTGTCACATCTCATATCACCTCAAATAGATACATGGAGAGCAGACGTTTATCAACATAGTCTAATTTGTATAATAATAATAAATCGTTTATTTTCTCCCTATATGTTGTGATCGTGTTACAATCACAAGTAAAAGGTTGGGAAACAGGAGCTCAAACTAGATCATACTCCTAGATCCTATGTTTTTAAACAAATTGTAAACTTCTATTAGGAAGGTATTTTTTGGTGTAGTAACCCCTATGTTTACAAAAAATCTCTAGGATTCTAGATCGAAGTATACAGCATGTGCGATTTTATGCTCAAGAAGTTTTTTTTATTTTTATTTATAACATCAAGTGACGGGACGAACAAGTCGTGCGTCTGATGGTAAGCGACACGCCTGTCCATAACAGTTGCAGAGCCACTCAGAGCTTTAAATCGCAAAAGTATGAGGTACACTGCCACTGCGCCTGTCACCCTGAGACAAAGTTGACAAAGGCCCATGTGCCTGTAATTTCACCAGCCCCCTTAAAACAGGTAAGGTGGCAGTACTTTCCTGGACGAGCTCTTTCACAAGGAACTTTACTGCTGTTAATAGTGACGAAACGTGACGGAAGATATTTTTCAATTATTTCAAAAGATAGTATCATATCGACAAAAGGTTCAGAGATGTTGATTCAAGGAGATTGTTTACTTACCCAGAAAGGCACCAGACCCTTAGCTTTATCGCCTAGAATCGCCTCTTCCAGCTTGTCCCCTCGCATGCTTTGCATCTCATCCGACTCTATGTACCGCATACGAACTAAGCCTGTCAGGAAAGAATATTGATTTCAATATACAGTGTTATAATATGTGTACGAAGCGAGAGAGGATGAAAAAAAATTCTTGGAATCTCCAAATGTAGTCTCTCGCTAACCGTCCCACTCAGTGGAAGCGGCAGCCGGCGATCAGGAACGACGTTTCTATGAGCTTTAAAGTATCCCACCTGGTGGAAGTATTGGAGTGCCACTCATAGGCCCTATGATTCGAAACAAAGCAAATTTCTTTAACAGCTTATAAAGTAATTTCGAGAGAATTTCGATAGGGCGTTCCATAAAGTTCTATTTTAATCCCAGCGCCATCTACCGTCAAGGCGAGATGACTAATATTTCTGGTGGCATTACAGTGTAATTTTTTTTAAATGGAACAATTTGGGGAAACCTAAATACGATACAGAGAAACTGTTTTAGGAACCATTAGGTCTTTATTTTGTGAAAACAAATTTGACATAGTCAATTATATGGTCCAGCGTAAGTTGTCCATAAAAATAAATAATATTGACAATTTTTTCTTGGGTCAGCAGAAATTGGTCAAAAAGTGAAAAAAACGTTCACAGATTTTTCACAAATGTCGCTACGGCAGAAAAGCCATTAAAAACCAGAAACAAAGACTAGCAACAAGCGCACTAAAAATTCGTAATGTCTGCTGGTTCGTTCCATACCGTAGTTGAGATAGCGTCAAGCACGGTATGCTAAAGACGCTGGTTCGAATCCAGCCGGACGATGGAATTTTTCTCAGTCTTTAATCACAGTATTGATAATTATAACAACCTAATGGAGTAATTTCCCAAAATGTAGTTGAATATCATGGTAGTAACGTCGCGACATTCAATAAATTTAATATTATGTCAAATTTGTTAATTATTGTAATCATAAAATTTTTTTATACATGAAAATGACATCCAAATATAAAATAATTACAAGGGGCGCATTATAAGTTTCCGGAATGAATAAGAAAAACATACTATAAATGGTCAGATATTAATTTATTGTTTCTCAAAATATTCTCCGTTAGCGATAATGCACTTTTTCATACGAATGAACCAATTTTGAAAACATTTATGCCACTCCTCCGTGACAATCTCTGAAACATATTTTTCATACTCTTCGACAGCCTCTTCAGGTGATGAAAATCATTGACCGCGGAACTGGTTCTTAATTTTTGGGAATAAATAAAAGTCACAAGGTGCCAGCCAGGTCGGGACTGTACGCGGGATGGCTCGTATGGTCAACGTTGTTCACCTTAAAAAATTCATTTGCCTGTCTGGTCGTGTGAGAACTGGCATTATCGTGGTGCAAGATGACACGGCGTTTACGGTTATTTTTACGAAGTTTGTCAATAACTTCCGGCAAACAAATGGTCGTGTACCAGTCACTAACTCACGGTACAACGATTCTCCAAAGCAATAGTAGCCACGTGTCCAGTTTTATTATTAAAAGAAGCAATCATCCGCTTAGAGGCACTTTACACGCGCGCCACTTTGGTTGGTTTCGGCTCATCTCGAAAGACCCATACGCTCGCTTGCTGCTTTGTTTTGGGATCGTAACTATAACTCCATGTTTCTTCACCTGTTTCTATATTCCACACCAAATTTGACGCCCCTTCGTTGAATATGGTAAGCATGGCATTGCACCAAGTGACGCGACCCGTTTTTTGAGCCTCAGTCAAATTGTGTGGGATCCACCGAGAGCACAGCTTTTTCACACCCTAATGTTTGTGTAGTATTGATTATATTTGGCTCATGCCTATGCCTAAAGGTACCCGAATCTCAGAGTATATCACATGACTGTCTGTTTTGATCATACGGCGCACAACATCGATATTTTTGTTGTTCACAGCAGTGGACCGACCGCGTTTGAATTCTGCAAACCTGCTGTAAATAGTCGTCTTGCATGGTGCTTCATCGCCAAAAGCAGTTTGAAGCCGAGCGAAGCAGCGCTGAGCTGTTACATTTAGTAGCAGTAGATCTCCTTGTGAAAGAGTTCCTCCAGAGTAGTACTGCCACCTTACCTATTTCTGCCGCCAAGCAGCAATGTGCTGGCATTGCTGCTTGGCGGCGGAAATACTTTGTTCACAGAATTACTGTGTTCCGGTTTTGAAGGGTAAGGGTGCTGGTGAAATGACAGGCACATGGGACTTGTCAACTTACGTCTCAGGGTGACGAGCGCAGTGGCAGTGTTCCTCAGATTTTTGCGATTTAAAGCTCTGAGTGACACTGCATCTGTTATGGATAGGCTTGTAGCTTACGATCAGGCGCACGACTTGTTCGTCCCGTCACTTGATATTATAAAAAAAACATTACACTTTAAGTCGTAGACAATCATACTCCGAAAATTTTCACGAGTTAAATTCTATCATCTATGGTAAATCCATGGTGATGTAGACAATCAATTTCCAAAATGACGCCACAGCGTAAAAACAAGTGACAGTTAGATGAAACAAACTGTATTCTACAGCCGAAGAGTTCCATTTTAAATGTTGTAATTACTTTTTAAATATTATTTATGTAAGTGGCCAGTTCCGGAAACTTATAGTGTGGCCTATGTATGTACTTTAGCATTATTTAGAGTAATATTGTAAAAAAATTTTGGTTACACCTACACCGCTTTTGCGCTGATAGTCTAAATTATAATTCTTTTTAAAGTGCACACTCATAGCACCGCTTACTATGTCGCGGTTGCCATAGACACACACATAGATAACCACAAATTACACCAAACCTTACGAGATAAATAAATGACATACAAATACTTCTCTCAGCCCGGGAATCGAACCTGGCACCACACCGTGGCAGAATAGCATGGTGACCGTTCGGCCACGAAGGCAGTTAATTTGAACTTGCAGTAACGGTTAACTGCACTTAACTCTTTCATTAAACAACTTTCGAAATCAAATATTTGAACCAGGGCGGAGCACGCAATCCCTATTAGTTAAGGCCGTTTTCCCACTATGACTACTAAGTCCGTCAACGAAAAGATGGATCCATTCGAAACTGTCAAACACATCGTTCGAAACTGTCAAATCGCGTTGTCATTCTTAGAGTGGTTATATCTTAGAGGATGGAAAAAAGATTTTTCGTACACTATTATTTAATAAGCGACTGTAGCAGTTGTATCGCTGCTAAAAGTTACTGTGTGTAACCCTTAGACTTGGTTTCCATAGTCAAACGCACGATTGCATCGATACAGTCACTTATAATTATGTACGAAAAATCTATATAGATTTATGCACATTGTTTTGTTAATTGTAAATTAAAACTGTAATTAATAAATATTTTAAATAAATCAATTAATTTAAAAGTCACGAGAGTGTGTAAAGGTGTATACCTTGTATTGCATCGCGTTTGCATCGCTGTTAAAATATATATGTATATCCGCTCTTAGTTCTAGCCACGATCGAAACTCAAGTCTGTAGGTCATCCATTAAAAATCGGAAAATGGCCGAAACTGCGGATCTCGTGCTTCGAGAGTATTTTTTTCTTTAAAACAACTTACCAATAAGTCCCGCCTTCTCAACAGAAGAATGCGCTTGATCGGAGCAATAAGCAACTAGATGCCCCAAGAGTTCCGAAGAAGAATGGTCAGGGTTCAGCTTGGACAGCTCCATCAGAGCACGCGTTCGGGCAGCCAGTAAGCTGACAAGGGTTGCTTCACTTGCTGTAGTCTGGGGGATGTAACAAAGAACATAACGGTTTTATGTAGCCAAACCAGGTATGTTCATCTTCATCTGCACGTCCGTATGTCTGTACATCACACCCCCTTCACTCTTTCGTTTACACACCAGTTGTCATTAAAACATCTATATTCCGCGTATTGAAAGAATTCAACAAAAATTTATTCGTTACTTGTGTTTTAAAATTAGTCAGCCTTCCTGCTCTTCAAGACCTCAGGAAGAAACTTAAAACGTTCGAATATCGTAGAATGCTCCGCATCAGTTGGACGGACAAAGTCACGAATGTCGAGATCCTTAAACGTATGGCGAAGAAGGTAGAGTTGGTACGCACAGGCAAGCAGCGGAAGGTTGCTTATTTGGGTCATGTACTGCGATATGACAGATATCACCTATTGCACTCTATAATGATAGGCAAAGTAAGACGAAAAGAAGAAGAAGACGGTAAATGGCTATGGCTTCGTAACACCAGGGAATGGACCGTGGAACAACTGTTCAGGCTAGCTCTGGACAAATAGAAAACTGATTGCCGACCTTTATAATGGAGATGCACTTGAAGAAGAAGACCGCTCTTCTAACTTTTTAGATATCTGCAAAAGACACCATATACTCGTACTTTCCCTTGAATTGCGACGTGAAATTGCAGACATAAACTTCTTCTTCCTGTCCTTATCCCACGCTAGGTGGGGTCAGCACGACATGTATTTTTCTTCCACTTTCCCCTATCAGCCGTCATTTTTATACTCATACCTTTCGTATCCATGTCATCTTTCACACAATCCATCTTTTCTTTGGCCTTCCTTTCCCCTTATATCCCTCCACATTCACAACTAGCACATGACATGACATGACATTCTTCCCTCCGTATGACATGTCCATACCACGCTAAAATATTACTTCTCATCTTTTCCGTCACTGGCGTCACTTTCAAATTTCCCCTGATGTACTCATTCCTTATCTTATCCTTATTGCAGACATAAACTATCTCGTTAAAATTACCACCAATATCGTTGACTGCTCCGAGCTGTCTGAGACTCACTTAAGGGTCCCAGCTAAGCATTTACGTAACAAGTCATTAATTCATTCACCTGTCGGAACGAATTATTACAAACGGAATAATTCGTTTACATTGCGTGCGAGCAATAACTTTAACAAAGTTTTTGCTCTTTGCAATTTTGATTTGTTTAACACAAGCTTTGCGTACGTTAAGAAAGTATATTATCTAATATTATTACAATATTATTTTTTTATTACTAAAGCGAATTAGCTAGCTTTGTTATCTTGCTTCTATAATGTGTCATGTGTGTGTACACAATGTCATTTCGTTGTTTATTGTTGTCAATGTAGTATTTTGCTATTGTATTTTTATCAGTAGGGGACTGTTTTTGCTTATAATTAGCTATTATAGTTTCTATTACATTGTGATACAAGCTGTTTGTATCCTCAGGAATAAAATAAATAAATAAACTTGCGTGAAAAAGCATATAGATGACGCAAAAACAAAAGTGAAAAATTTCGAACACATTGCAACGTTCAAAAACGTCAAGATAAAAAAAATATGTAATAAATGTACACGATTAAAAGTGAAAGTTTAAATTAATGTAAAAATGAAAAAGTTCATAGAAGAAAAGCATTTTAACAAAGTCACTGTAAAATTAAAACCGACCAACTGACAACGCGGAATTATTAATGAATGACGAAAGACAAATATAGGGGAGAAGGAGGAAAAATGTAGTAGGAATTATGATTATTATAATTATGTGCGTGTGTGCGTGCGCCAAAAACCGAATGAGAGATTGTGTTTAGTTTCAGCGTCGAAAAGTAAACATTCTCAAAAATAGTTGTAAGGACATTACTGGAAAAAAAAAGATAATGGAGAGTTACTTTTGCTATGGATTGTTTTATTGCTAAAATATTATAATACCTATAGCTTGCAATCATTGAGTATGTTACGCATAAAAAATATTTGTTATTTTGTAGAGTCCTGCCCATTGAGGCTGATATGAACAAAACAAAAGGGGCAGGCAGCTTTGAACACCTTTAGAGGTTCAGATTAGCTTTTTTTTAATAGTCCTGTGATTATAGATTTAACTAAACAGATTGAAGAACTATGTATGTTGTAAAAGATTTTTGATACCGTATTTATAAAAATATATTGTAATAAGTAATTTTCATTTAAACTGGTGAATTCAAAGGTGCCCCAGGCGAGTTCAAAGCTGCCCTAAGTGTGGGGCAGCTTTTATGCTGATCTGGCCTTATTAGGTACACCAAGGGTGCGCAATAATACGAACAGCATGTATTACCTTTACTACGATCATAATGTAACTAGTAATGACGTAAAAGCTTCGTAATTAATTCGATTAAAAATTGTACGTTCCATGTTGTGATGTAAACAATTAATTTAATTAAATTAGTGTTGTTATTAAAGATTGGAAGAATGAGGACATAACTTGGGTTTGACAATACCTGTATTACGCCTCCGCCAGTGCTGTCATCTTTTTCATTAAGGAAACAATCTGGTAAGCCCAGTAGCTTGCCGAGCCAGTTCATCGCGATGGTCTCCAGTTCGGTTCCCGCGGGCGATGATGCCTAGATGAGAAAAACACATGGACTGAGGAATTTAGACCTTCTATTTTAGAATTCTATTTTACAAATTTGTAATATTTAAAATTATATCTCATTCCACGTAGAAATATACAATTTCTGTTTGAATGTCATTTTTTCTAAAACGAATGACAAATGTGTTCCTGTGGGAACCTAATGCTGTGTGGTGATTGTAGCCACCTACGTATCTCCAATGAACTCTACACCAACTTCATTTTTGGACATTTCTTCTCTGTTTTTATTTTTTTTTTCACAAAATTCGGGGAGCATAATATTAGTAAATAAAATTATGGCTGTTTGCAAAAATGACCTTTGGAGGTATTGACGGGTGGCAGCAGTTATTTAGTTTGTTTTGGATAAGAAGTTATAAAATCGTGTTTTGAGAAAAATACTTCAATTTCGAATGCTTGTAACTTTATTGTTATGTGTTCTAACTATACATTTGAAGAAGTTGCTTAATCTAGAAAGGAATTTGTGACACTTGTGTGGTTTATCAATCATTTAATAGAATTTTGTACATTCTTAGCAGGAAGGAACAAACATATCCGTGTAAATGATCACACATTGAAAGTACTTTTGTCATATGCATTTTTTTATTTATTTTTTTATTATACTATGGGAGACTGGTGCCCACCGAGTGTATAACCAGAGAGATGAAATGTCATTTAATTTGTTTTAAAATTATTCTGTTAAATTATAACGATGACAACTGCGCTCCGATTGGCCAGCCCGAATTCGAAACAATTGACGGGTGTCATCAATTGTTTCACTTCAAATCGACCAGTTTAACTTGAGCGTTGCTATAATGGACGAGAATCGAAAAATTACATATTTAATTACCGATGAAATTTGGTTCCGTTTGTTTGGTAATTAGATGCTTTGCTGTTTTTTCCACACCACCGAACGGAACAACCCCCATAGTTAGAGATATTATCTTTATTACAATAAATACAGAACGTTTTTGGAATATACGGAGACGTATACACAGGTCAGTTGTTGGTTGCACTATTTCAGTTTTCTAATTTGTGATGTTTGCCAGGGAGGGATGGCCCTTATTTCGTTTCTATTTATGGTTATATTCTCAATGCTGGTGCCTAAACTAGACGTGAAGACTGTATTTCAGGTCTCCAGAACTCACCCATTGGAAGATATAATTGCAACTTGGAATTATGTACTCGTACACTAATTAATTCAAAATTAATTTACAACTCTACGTTTTTTAAATTAATTAACACTCTCTTTATTATACAAAGTTTCTTATTTATACAAAGACGAAGACTAAGAAAAATTCTTTGGATCCGTCTGGGTTGGAACCGGTACGTTTCAACAAACCGTGCTAGATGCTCTCAAAACTAAGTATTTCGGCTCATTCGAAGAAAAGAGTCCGATGTGATTATGTAGCGAAAAAAAATAAGCAAGTTACGAGAATAATTTCGTTATTCAAACTATGTAAAGGTGTTTTGAGAATTTATTGTTATTTCGTTTCGGAAATATAAAATCGAATAACGGTCGATTTGTCATCCACAGCGAAGAAGAACAAACGAAATGTACGATGTCCTGAGAACAAATAGTCTTGCACATAGATCTTTGTTCTACGGATGAGTCGATTTGTTGCTTAATATTTGTTTTTGATTTTTAACGACTTTTTGCCCTAACGCCATCAGTGAGAAATCTATTCCTTTACTCAGCCGGTACCTTTACAGGTACCAGCAGCTGACTAGAGATGACGCTTTAATAATATCATTTATTTTTCTCCTATATAAGCATAAAAAATTATAAAATAGAAAAATAAAATAACTTTGTTTCAGGCTTCTGACAGTGGTTCACACAAAAATGTTACTAAAACAACATTAAAATCTTAAGGAACTAAGTGTATAATAAAAGTGCATAATAGCATACAATGAAAATTCGGATGAAAAAATAAAAATATGAAATCAAAAACATTAACATTAAAATATTCATATTGTAACGTGCAATGACGTCCACCGGGCCAACTTTGGGCTATCCCAGCGGCTCGCAAACACGATCAGGATACGGTTGGGGCTGGCGCGTAGACGGGCATCCAGCGAGATTATCCACTAATTTCATTCCTAGGATCTTTAAACCTCTCTCCTCAAATTTTGTCATTTTGCATATTATGCCATATTACACCACGGGTGCAAAATAAGGTATTAACATCAAAAACTTACCCAGGTAAAAGTTAGCACATTCAGTGACGCAGAGAGGAGCTCACCCATGATAGAGGGGTATGAAGTGAGGGCGGGGAAGTACGCGTGCATGCGAGGACTCTGCCAATGGACCAACTGCGAGTGGAAATATGGGAATTAGAAAAAGAAAAACTTCGACAACCAAGATTTGCGAGGTAGCGATTACCAGATCATTGTTTTTAAGTTTGTTTTAATACCAAGTGACCGGACGTTGCAGTGCCACTCAGAGCTTTAAATCGCAAAGATCTGAGGGGCACTGCCACTACGCTCGTCACCCGGAGAGGTAAGTTGACAAGTCTCATTTGCCTGTAATTTCATCAGCACTCTTTAAAACCGGAACGCAGTAATTTGAGCATTACTGCTTTGTATATTACAAAAATCTTTAAATTTGCAATGGCAATCAAAACCAAAATAAAAACACGCGTGTGTGAAAATATTTTTCGTAAAGAACTAAATTAAAAAGTTTACTTACCCCCGGCATAATTTTCTCATCAAAATCTTTGATAATATCGTCCCATTTCTCTCCCTGCTCGGGAACGTTGGAGGGTAGCAGCTTGTGCAGGAATCCGGGTTCCACTCCCGGGTAAACTCGTCGGTCACGAATGTTTTCGAGATAGTCCGCTACGTAGTCGACCATCTCTTTGGCTAGATAGAAAAATATAACTTATTTATTTATTTTACATTAAGCTAGCAACTATAATTATAGGACTAACCTAATTCAATATTGTAGCCAAAATTATCACTTGTTCAACATTATTATACTGGAAATTTTCTAGGATGATCCCTGTGACACTTCACAAAATTCTACATAATATAATCTTGTAACGACGTCCACTAATTTACGTATTTTCTGTACTATTTTTATAATTCTAGCTTTTAAGTGTATAAAATTAAATACATAAAATTAAAGTAAAAGTAACACCAAATCAGTGAGAAATGAGCAGAGAAACAATATTTTTTTCAAAAATAAGTTTATTTTAACGACAACGTACAAAGGTTACTTCATTAGACTGTATTTGCTAGAGATGAGGTATATCGATAAAAAGTTTCCGATCATTTAATGAATAAATATATAGTGCGTACATGTGTTTAACCTATTATGTAGTTAGTGATCTGATTTTAATATTTTTAATCTGCATTTTGAGACAGTTTGAGTATATTTATTGAAATATCAAATGTAATGGCATTTTAATTTAGTTAGTGTTTTATGCCTTCAGTGCAATACAAAACACTTCATACATCTATACAAAGTTTTCAAGAGGCGAGACACTCCATTATTTAATTTATTTCTCCAGTACCTACTCCACAGAAATATCGGTTCGGATATCAGAAATAAAATAAATACTATTTAAACACAATTCATGGAAGTTCATTATTTTAAAAACTTAATTGTTATGTTTTTTAAATCCGTAATATTATACAAGACTGTCTAAGAGAGAACCTTTGCTTCAAAAATCTATCGACTTTACCTCATCCCTATGAAAACGTCAAATGAAGTGTGGAGATTCGCCTGGACCTTTTGGAGGGAAAAGTGTCGTTTTTATTTTGACTTTCAATTATTTTGTCAAATCTAGTTTAAAGTGGAATAGGATAGTGCTATTGTGCCTTAATCAAAGATTAACGCGAAATTATACGAATCTCGAACCAAAATACCCGTATCGGCCCGTTTTAAGGAATCCCGAGTCAATCCAAGCACGCCGCCTCAAATTGCCTATCCTCTTTGTGGCGGCCATATTTACAGAAACATAATTAAACTTCATGTTTAGGTTGATGGCTTTACCAAAGCCTTAATAAATTTAAAAAAAATCAATTGAAGTGTCACAGGGATCACCCTAGAAAATGTATAGTATAAGTACATTAATATACCTATTATCTTAGAGTAATAACGCATAAAATGATAGTTTCATATCAAACGAACTGTCACAAGTGAGGCAAAAATCAAATTCATGTAGGCTAGTTTTAGTAGTAGGTTAATTTTCGATTTTAGTGAATATTTATATAAAAATACAAGTTGAAACGCGTTACTTCCTTGTGGAATGTGATGCTAGTATCTATTTTATGTTTGTCTGACGTATTTTTACACTCATTGACCGCACATTTCGTCATTTTTAGATAAAATTCTTTAGCTGTTCGCGGTGCAAGTTGACCTTGAGCACTGAAGGCTCGCCCGCTCGTGTAGGCCCTTTGGGAGCGCTTCGATTTGCCTCACTTAGCGTGTGCGGACTAGGTTTCTATGCGTTATTATTCTAAGCCTATTATATTCAAAATTATATTGTTTACTAAAATTATATTATACCATATTACATTACACAACTGCTATTAGATTCCATCTTAATACAATTTATTAATCTTTTTTTTTAAAGTCGTCATCGCGGTGCCCTGTAAAATAGGTTGGTTCTCCCACGAGGAATCGTCAACAACTGAGGCCGATGCCGGCGCTCCACATAGCCATCGGGAACGCAAAGACCCATACGACTCTAAACCTTTGCATTGCATTTCTTATAATATAATGAATGGAAGAGTTCATCCAGGGAAGTACTGCCACCAAGCAATAATGTGAGCAGTACTAAGTTTCGGTTTTGAATCGTTTTGCTGGTGACTGCGTGGCACTACAACCGTTATGGACAGGTGTGTATAATATTAATATTAATTTTGGGGTGAGTATTGTGTATTGAGCTATTTAGTTTTACAGGGAGTGTTTTATAAACCAATGCACATCCAGACACTTTCGAGATATGGCAGTTTGAAGTTTAATAATGTTTCTCATTTTTGTTTTATTTTCAAACTTATAATGTCGTGTAGCTCTAGAGATATTTATTTATGTTTATATGTTGGATTTTTTTGCTAATCTTAGAGGTTAGACTTTAGGAACCGTTTGTAACCGAAAAAATTAGTAATATGTACATATTACTTATTTTTTGATAATTTTGTGGATTGCATCCTTTTTGCTTTACTACGTCCAATTGTACCTTTTTATTTTATTTTATAGATTGTTATAGCCTTCCATTTCCTCTTTTATCATCTCTTTCAAATACATCTTGGGTTGCGGACCGTGCCTTCTGCATTCCCATTTCTCTGAGGCAAAGCTATGTACTAGGCACCCTGTATATTTATCGAATTCCATTAAAGGCCTGTGTGTAACAAAGTGACAAAGAAGACTTGAAAGTCGATTACTCGATACTGTAGGAGCAAAGAAACAAATTGCATTGGGAAACAGTGTTCCGTCTTTATTTGAAGTTGGTTGAAAAAAAAAACACATGAATGTTTCTAGTAAGAGTTGTATGTACTTTATTGTAATTATGATACTCGTATTTCCCATTTTCAAACATTGATGTACAAACCTAACCAACCTTCCCATGGTCTTATCAACCTTCTTAGTTATACGGTTTGAGGTAATGCCACCGATATTAACTGCCTCCATGACCGAACGATTACCATAATGGTCAGCGAAGCAAAGATCCCGGATTCGATGCCCGGGCCAGGAGAAATGTTTGTATGGCCTACATTTATTTCTCTCGTGAGTTTGGGTGTAATTTGTGGTTGTCTATGCGTACCCATGACACCAACGTTTCAGAGTTTCCCTAGTGGGGGCTATGAGTGTATGCGGTATTTATTATTTATTCTATACAAACTTAAATTCTTAATTAGTAGCAGTAGAGCTCCTTATGAAAGGGTTCGTCCGGAGAAGTGCTGCCACCTTACTTATTTCTTATTAAAAATTAAATTACAGGCACATGGGACTTGTCAACTTATGTCTCGGGATGACGGGCGCATTGGCAGTGCCCTTTGTGTTCATAAACATAACAATACGAGGAATAAAAATAAGCCAGCTGTTTTCAACAGCCGTCTTCAAAAAGTCACTAAGTAATTTAAGGGGCTTCGTATCTTCAATAATAAGATTCTGGTTGATATTGAAAATATGCCATTTATACGAGGTTAATTATGTACAGTTACATACACAGCTTTATCTATACACATATTATAAGCTCTCTACGATGTGTTCAGAAACCGCATGTTACGACTGGCGAAATGGTGACAAATAAAAACTTTGGTTGTGCATGTCACACAACCGTAGTTTTTATTATTTATTTTTTTATTAAATTTTGGCTTGGATACAAGTCCTTTGAGCCTAGTACACATTAAGTTTTCGCTTTCTCTTAAATAACTTAGTTTTCTTGTTCGGGTATATAAGGTAGTCTTATAAACGGTGGGAGTCAATAATTTTATGTTTTCACTTAAATCACATTATTTTTAAAACTTTGAATTCGTTAATAGTTGAATTTTCAGAATAAAGTCTTTTGTAGTTTGTTTTAAAATAAGGACTATAGTTCTAACTTTCTTCATCACTATTTCTTTCTTCACATTTTCTTCATAATATACTTAAAATAAAAATAATCTTTGTCAAAACTTCAAAAACCTACCAATTATTTCTTTTGTAGTATTTATTTAATTCATAGACAAATTAGAGTCAGCACCAACTATCATATCGTTCGATATCAAGTAACGTGTGAAATTTGTTATAATTGTTTTGCTATTGACATTTAACTTTGAATAAAACTTCATCTCGACTGATATTAGAATTGAGGTCGAATCAAAATTGTTTTGTTTTTCAGAGATTTTCGAAATTTGAATGTAATAATAAAATCGAATTTGATGTTATTTATGAAGCAATAATAACATTTACATAAGAAATTTGTTCTAACAAAACAATTTCTGATTGTAATTTGCGGTTTTTGAACACATCATAGAGGGTTTATGATATGTGTGTAGATAAAAGTTATTTAAACAACTTCTGCGTACTTGTATGATGAAAATGCATGGTTGGGATCCGGGAGTCCTACTTCCGTTCTTTTTCCGACATCCGTCCGAAACAAGAACTGTCAAATAAGTAATACTCGACCAAATTACAAGATGCATGAGGCGAATGAAGCTTCAAACTGCCACTGCCACTGCGCCCCTTTACCCTGAGACGTAAGTTGACAAGTCCCATGTACCTGTAATTTCACCAGCACCCTTACCCTTCAAAACCAGAACACAGTAATGCTGACATTACGGCTTGGCGGCAGAAATAGGTAAGGTGGCAGTACTTCCCTGGACGAATTCTTTCGAGCTTTCAAGGAGCTCTACTGCTATTAAATATACTTACAAAGAGCAACCCTACAGTTTCTTGCTCATTCTTCTCAGTGGAATCTGCCGTAAGATTGACCAGTAGAGTTTAATCAATATGACGATTTCAAATGTCATTAGCTTATCTATGAAATAAAGATTATTTGGCTTTGACTATGGCTTCTGATTGTGATACCATACAACCAAGTCGTATACCTAACTCGCTACGCAACCCGTTCAATGTAACAAATCGTAAAGTCGATAATCAAGTCAATATATATCTGCGAATCCGTAATAAAACGAAGCGATGAACGACTCAATATCGGAGAGACAACACATTATGGAAATCCGCTTTATTTGTTCAATATATTACTGTGATAGTACAGTGAGGAGGGCGCTGTATTTAGGGATGTAGGTTCGATCTTCGTTACATTCTATTTTTATTGTAATACTAAGTGACGTCATAGTCAAAGTCAAATGATTTTTATTTAATAAACAAATTACACTTGAAATCGTCATACAGATTAAACTCTAGTGCTCATTCGTAAGGCAGATTCCGCTGAGAAGAATGAGCAAAAACTCTAGGGGTTGCTTGTAAATATACATTTGAATACATTTAACATCACAATAATGTTTAATTCAAACATCATAGATCCGGACTAAACGGGTCACTACAACAGAGTTTTGTCATCCAAGTACGCAGAAGCCGTATATATAATAACCTTTAGTATAAAGTTTTTGTTTCACTATAGTTTAAAACGTCGTAAATGGCAACTTTTGAATACCAATCGGAATCTTATTATCCCTATAAGGGATAAATGAATTTGAGACTTTATGAAGACGACTGTCAAGATCAGTTACTTTATTTTTACAGAAATAATTTTGTGACGGAACGAACAGGTCGTACGCCCAGCGGTAAGCGACACTCCCGTCTAATTTCCAAAGATCTGAGGGTCGTATTCTAGAACTCTATTCAATGCTCAAGTCAAGATTGCACTGGCAACACAAGCACTGGAAATACGACCCTAATGGCAGGGACTTGAGTATGATTTCGAATGCTTTAAACCATACTCAAATCCTGACTTGAGCATTGAGTAGAGTTTTGGAATACGACCCTGAGAGTCACTGCCATCGAATATATAACCAGAAATAGAGACGAAATGTCATTTGATTTGTTTGAAAACTATTTCGCCATATTATTACTGTGACAACTGCGCTCCGATTGGCCAGCCCGAATTGACGGGTGTCGTCAATTGTTTCACTTCAAATCGACCAGTTAACTTGAGCTTTGCTATAATGGACGAAAATTGCAAAATTTTATATTTAATTACTTACTATACTATTTGTCATCTACTACTACATAAACAACTATAATATAATAGTAGATTCTGTATTAAGGCCGGCAGATAAGAAATTACTAACGAGGGTTTGTTAGAACCCTGAAGCCCAAGGCCGAGGGCTTTAATGACTGAACTTGTAATTTTTACCGCCCGTACCACATATAATGTTTTTCATCACATTTGCGATGAAATAGATAATACAACGATAATTTATTTCTTGTATGCATAAATGTCGCTTCACAACACAACATTTACGAATTTGGCCAAGTTTTATTGACATCGGTTACCGGAAAGTTACTAAAAGTAAGAAAACTTTGTATGCCATAAGGCGGATTACAGTGATTCAAAATTCATTCTTGTAACAACTTTATAACCTGTGTATCACAAAGAAATAAATTATTTGATGATTTGATTTGATTTGAAAGTGCACGAAACCTGATATCCCCTAATTTGCCACCCTTAGCAGTCGAATATTTTCTTCAAATTTAAATATGACCAATGCTGAGGTACCCTCTTTCCAACAAAAAAAAGAATCATCAAAATCAGTTCACAAATGCGGTTTTTTTTATGCTAAGTGATGGGACGGACAAGTCGTGCGCCTGATCGTAAGCGACACGCCTGTCCATGACAATTGCAGTGCCACTCAGAGCTTTAAATCGCGAAATTAAGATCTGAGGTGCACGCCTCTGCGCCCATCGCCCTGAGACATAAGATGAAAAGTCTCATGTGCCTGTGAGTTCACCAGCACCCTTACCCTCCAAAACCGGAACGCAGTAATGCTCACATTACTGCTTTTCGGTAGAAATAGGCAAGGTGGCAGTACTTCCCAGGACGAACTCTTTCGCAAGGACTTCTACCGCTACTACTATCGCGTAACATACAAAAAACATCGAATTGAGAACATCCTCTGTTTTTTGAAGTCGGTTAGTAAAATTAAAATAATTTCCAATTTAAATTTATTTATTTGAATTTCAATTTGTGAATTCACAAAATAAATTTAGTAAATTATGATTAAATTGCAAATGTTTACTTTTTTTATGCCTCAAGTTTATGCCAAATATACGTTCAGATCTTTCGAGCATAAAAACTTTTTGCTAATCTTGACGTAAAAAATCCATATATAATGAAAAAGCCCGTGGACATAATTTAGGACACTACGGTCGACTTTGCCTGCATGTCATGACACTGTTTACGAGCAAGTGTGATGAAAAAACATTACCTATACCTATTTCTGCCACCAAGCAGTAATGTGAGCATTACTGCGTTCCCAGTTTGGAAGTGTAAGCGCCGCGCGGCGACCGTCCTATTACCACTCTTTCATATACATTAACAGCGAATCTAAATTCTATTTACAAGGCAACAACATTTAGGTTCTGCTGCTGCTGCTGAATAAATAGAGCGTATTTGCCATAACAGTACAGGCACATGGGACTTATCAACTTCATATTTGAAGGTGACGGGTGCAGTGGCAGTAAGTACCCTTCAAATCTTTGCGATCGACTCTAAGGGTCGTATTCTAGAACTCTACTCAATGCTCAAGTTAGGATTTGAGTATGTTTTAAAGCACTTGATATCATACTCAAGTCCCTGTCATTAGGGTCGTATTTCCAGTGCTTGTGTTGCCAGTGCAATCCTGACTTGAGCATTGAATAGAGTTCTAGAATACGACTCTTAAACTTGATACTACCTTAGATCAAATTTAATATATTTCCCGTACAGTATCGGTTCTATTGCGCGGGTCGAGTAGCACTCGAGCACACGAGCACACGAGCAATGGCTTTATTTCAGAATTTATTTTTTTTACAAACGAAATCATGGCCATTTGAAAATTGTATCGTGTAATATATGTGTTCTATTTAATTCAGTTGATATAAAAAAAAAATTGGTATGTGTAAGGTACCTATAGCGGTTTTCTTGTAAAATTTCAAGGTAAGTTTGTGTTTTTTTTCTATCGTGACAAGTTTTGAGAAATCGCGTTTTCACACCACACATCAATCAGTGTATAACCTCAACTTTACTATTCATATTTCAATTTTCAAAAGTTCAACACTATTTAGCTATGAATCGTTAGGGTAACTGCGGATATGTCTATGTGCTCGTGGCCGAAGAGATCCGTGTAAAAGAGGTCGTCCAGGGAAGTACTGCCACCTTACCTATTTCTGCTGCCAAGCAGTAATGTCAGCATTACTGTGTTCCGGTTTCGAAGGGTAAGGGCGCTGGTGAAATTGCAGGCACATAGGACTTGTCAAATTATGACTCAAGGTGACGGGCGCAGTGGCAGTGTCCCTAAGATCTTTGCGATTTAAATCTCTGAGTGGTGCTGCAACTGTTGTGGACAGGACAACCACAATCTAAATTTAAAAAAATATCGGTCACGTTAACTTTAAATTAAGTTAACGTGACCGATAGACAGAGGATTTTGAGCTCTATTTAAAACGGACATTTGATACTTAGCCGCGTGTTAGTTAGTGAACAGCTCTGTGTCGCCCTGCAACTGTTGTGGGTAGGCGTGTTATTAACCACCAGGTGCACTACTTATTCATCCCGTTGAGCCCAGCAACAGACCATAAATGTGTAAAAAATAACATAGATACAAAACACAAATTTCCTGCTTTTGACATTGTACAATAAACGACTATATATTACTTCTATATAATTGCGTAATCATAGAGCTTTGTAACTATTATTATGAAATATCATGAGCTCTATCGGTTTTCGATATGTGCTTGGAATATCAAATAGAAATAAATAAAGGTTATTCATGGTTATTTATATTGCAATGGAAGTCTTTAAATATATATATAACATAGTAAGAGAGATAAATATTTTTATATTCCTGTACTTTATCTATTATAATTTCATAAACCATACCACAAAGGAGCTGTTTTAGTTCTGAACCAAAATTCCATTACACGGAAGGAAAAAAAAAGATTCTCGATCTCGATTACTAGCAGAACTGATGACACCAAAACTCACACATTATTAATTTGAAACACTACAAAATCTTGATGTTGATTGGTCGTAGTTTCAAATTTAAAAAGAAATAACAAATTATGGATTGTTAATATAATTTAAACTTTATCATGTTGGCATATCGTTGGAAGTTCAATACCATCAATTACCTATTATTGTAGTTACGAAGTTTTGATATTATATCGAAATTTCAATCATGTGCTGCCATCTAGCGGTTAATTGCTGAACGACGACAAATTGGAGTTATTAATTTAGTTTTTCAAAACAGAAGCGACCATATTGCAGGGTTACAAGCTTAACTTTCGTTTCTTGTAACATAAAAAATATTTCGGTAAACAGAAAATTTTTTAAAATAAGCCTTTCCGATGATAAGAAATACCACTATGGATAATATTTTTGGTATACGGCATTATTCTAGAATTTTAGAGAATTTGCACGAATGAATGACGCAACCATACCATACAAAGCGAAAATGGCTGACTGAGCTCAGATAGGTCTTTCAAAACCGCACATACGTCAGATGCTAACTAACCACTTCTACTGTATTTATTGTTCTGCAATCTATTGTCTATGGTACTCGCTACTGAACTGAAAAAATGTATTATGGCTCTATAACTCAATCATTCTCGGATTAATGTTCAATAATTATCAACATTCTGATAATTTATACTATAACATAATAATGAACACAACCCGCGAGTAAGAATAAATTCATTTGTACATGACTTATATATAGAGGTAATTCATTCTCACTTACCTTTCACACGAAATACAGTGTGATCCATTTTCAAGAGTTAAAGACTTTCTATCTGAAACAAATAGAATACGTAGTTAGAGAAATATTTACAAAATAATAAATAACAAAAACTTTATTTGAGTTATACAATTAACTTTACATTAACAGTGGATGGTACCTCCTATTAGGTTTATGAAGCCTGTGTTAGGAGGCACCGCTCTTCCATAGCTATAAATGCACATTTTGCATATTAACTTACAATTTTCCTGTTTAATTTCTATTTTAATTTTGACATTTCCAAACAATCTCAAAACAAACAATTTATTTTTAACTTCTATTTATGAACCTTAAAACGTACACGCGCGTGTGTCTGTGTGTGTGTGTTTCAAGTGATGGGACGATCAAGTTGTGTGCCTGGTGGTAAGCTACACGTCTATCCATAACAGTGCAGTGCCACTCAGAGCTTTATAATGCAACGATCTGAAAGAAATTGCCACTGCGCCTGTCACCCTGAGACATAAGTTGACAAGTCACATGTGCCTACAATTTCACCAGCACTTTTATCCTTCAAAACCGGAATGCAGTAATAGTCAATTACTGCTTGGCGGCAGAAATAGCAGTACTTCTCTGGACGAACTCTTTCACAAGGGGCTCTACAGCTGCTGTGAGTGTGTGTCGCGCGCTTGCGTGTATCAGATAGATAAGTAGAAGTAGATCTTCGGTTTTCTCGTACGATTTGGACTGTAGCCATTTTGAGATAAGTTTCTTGCAGTGTCTATAACTTTTGGCGCATATTTGTTATTCCGTATTAATTGAATTATAAAAATGGGCCGATCGCTTGTTGAATTGTTTGTGTGCAAATGTTGTATTTGCTTCAGGTTCTTGTACCACAACGTCTTTTCTTCTCCCTTTTGGAATATTTAGATCATATTTTAGAGACATATGTTGTCTGAGTACAAGAGTTTCTTTACTGTGGTAAATTAGATAGTCAACTATCTATTGCTATTGGAATAGCTTTATTTTAAAATTCATTATTTTAAACAAATTGCGTTAGGCACGTTCCAACTCAAGAAACCGAGTTTCAGCAGCACAGCAACAACAAAATAAATAGTATTCTAATCTATATAAATAGTATTTAATAAATCAGTATATGAACAAAGATTTCCCAGTAATAATGTAATGCGTTGATGGAAGTAACACACCGTAAATTCCCATGTATTTTCTATACATGGGCAACTCAACATATTATACTGAGTTCAATATATAACGGAATTGAGACGTACAAAATTGCGAGTGACGCCATCAAGAGATTGAATGGCCTGAAATAATTTCTAGTATTGTAGAGCAACTTTTGTTTGAATTTTTAACTAGTTGTGTATTCAATCATATACTAACGACTCATACCTATGTAAAATATAAAATGTGCCCTTGATGTAACGATTGAAAATGAATAAACGAGTGAACACAATGAACTTTTTTATTTTCATAATTATAAAACAACCTAATGCTACAACTGCTGCTGCTATCAAGTTAAGTACAGCTGTCTGGAGCAAGTTCCGCCCTTCCGCTGTCGTGCCGCTTTACCTTATTGAAAACGTAATAAAAGCAAACATTAACTCAAAATAATACAATTTCTTATTAATACATGCTCGTGCGTATGCGTAATGAAAACCACCAAAGCACATTTTTATTGCTTAGAGAAGGTAGGCCGAAGACTATACCCAAATACATAGATTGAGCAGCGTCATTGATGAGCGTCACTTTCTAGAAATTATAAATAAGAACAAAGACACAAACACCAAAATCATACCTTCTGCTAGTACTTGCTGCAGCTAGTCTTGGTGGAGCCTGCTAGCCCGTAAATAATATGGTGATTAACTTATTTCCCTTCAGATCTTGTAGCAGACAACTACGTCAAAATATTGATGCTTCTGCATGAACTCTCGGAGCATTTAAATTTGGTCAGCAATGGCGTGCATATTCAACTTTATTACACAATCTTTTTAATATTTCTTAGTTGGATTATGTATATTATCTACATTTTTAGAAATTGAAGATTCGTATTTTCAAAATCTCGCCGCCATTTTTCACGATAACAGTTTTTTAAGCAAATGCTTTATGGCAGTGACACGTAGTCATTTTGACGATGGAAGGACGTACGCAGCTACGTGTATCGGATTTTACTTTTGGGAGTAGACGCTCTGGCCCTTCTTTAGGATGGCCTCAATTTGCTCATGATAAGTTCGCCTTGGTCGGCCCATACCAACTTATAAATCTGTTTCGTCAATCTCTTTCATTCATTCTCTCTACACGTCCGAACCATCTAAACATCCCTTTCTCTATCTTTGTCAGAACATCTTCTTCCAAGCCGCAACGCTCTCTTATCACACTGTTCCGTAATTTATCCATCAGAGTCACTCCAGTCATTCTTCTCAAAGCTCTCATTTCTACTGCATTAATTCTGCTTTTGTGCTTCTTCTGCCAAACCCAACATTCGCTGCCATACATAAGTGTAGGAACCCGCACCCCCCCATGAACGGCCAGGTCTGCCTTTTTAAACACTTTCTGGCTGCCCATGAAGGCATGCAAGGCACCGTTCACTCGATTCCCTGCGTTCACTCTCCAATCAATGTCACTTGCATATCTTCTATCACATAGAAGCCAAATACACAAACTCTTTCACTTGTTCCACTTTCTCTCGTTCAATCAATATCATGCAAACCGTCCTATCTTCCTCTCTTTCAAAAATCATTACTTTCGTTTTACTTATACGATAATTTGTATTTCTTTCCTTTTTAAAATACCATACATAATATTCAACGACGCTGGTATCACCTGATCATCGGCGCATAGGAGGCACTTGACGAGTAAACCATTCATTATCAATCCACACATACTCTCTTTCAAAACTTTCAAACAAGTCCATGAATAGGTTGAACAGCCATGGCGAAGGTACATATCTCTGTCTAACACCTTTCCCGATATTGAACCAGTCAGTTATAGTTTTATATAAAAATCATTTTGTATGTTTTCAATTCAGATAATTTATGTGTAATGTGCGCACCTCCTAGGTTACGTTGGTATATGAAAAAGCAGCAGCCGGCGAGTGCCAGCAACAATTTTGTTTGAGTTTCCAAACATGTTTAGAACACATTTATTTTATTTGTAATCACTAATTAGATATCGATTAGAAACTGAATTTCACATAAAAGAAATTAAGGAATATCATATATTAAAACATCATAATATTCATTAAAATCATAAAACGAGTAAACATGACTTGTTTTATAACCGATTTCAAAAACCAGGTTCTCATTTCGCTATACTTTTGTTTGACTATGTTACGCAATCCGCGAATCGATTTTGATGATTCTTGTTTTGTTAGAAAGGGGGTAGTCAATCCTGTTAAAATTTGAAGAAAATTAAGATACATCTAAGGTTGGGAAATTGGGGGTTGAATCCGGCTTATTGGATTCCCACCCACCTTCCGTTAACCGATTTCAATAAAACTTGGCAAATAGATGTAATTCCACAAAGTCAGGTCTTTTTGTTATAAAAAAAAGTTATAATTATTAAATTATATACCTACTTGAAAAAGAGTAAGGTATAAACAGTAATTGAGGTTTTAATATAACCGTGAGCCGGTAATACCGTAATACGTTAATCCGTAGAGGCGTCTTGAAGCCATACAATAAGTTGAAAGTAACCGTATTACCCTCCTCCTACAGAAGTCGTAATTTAAAACTACAGAACTATTATTTAATAGCGAATTACTTTGTACAAAAGTGCCGGATATTAATCTACCTAAGTATGAAACAAAACACTATTAAGGCTACGTATTTCAATATGAAATGTACATTGGAAATATAAATAGTAAATGCACTTATTGTTTTTGTTAAAAGGGAACAAACAGAAAAAAAGTTGTTGCTCATTTTGAAAAGCTTTTATTTTTTCTTCCGCCATTTTAGTCAAACAAAGCGAAACGTAATCAACAAAAGGGTGTCACTAATATTAAAGATAGAGAAAAAAAATGGCGGATGTTTGTTGTTACAGTTTTTACATTAATTAGTTTTTCCTTTAAGTATTATTATGTTTTGACTTTCTAACTATATTTTTTTATATACTGTCAAGTGACCTGTCATCTGACACGAACAAGTCGTGCGCCTGATGGTAAGCTAGACGCCTGTCCATAACAGTTACAGTGCCGCTTAGAACTTTAAATTGCAAAGATCTGAGGGGCACTACCACTGCGCCCGTCACCCTGAGACATGAGTTGACAAGTCCCATGCGCCTGTAGTTTCACCAGCAGCCTTACCCTTCAAAACCGGAACACAGTAATGCTGAAATTACTGCTTAGCGGCAGAAATAGATAAGGTAGCAGGAGTTCCCTGGACGAACTCTTTCTCAAGGAGCTCTACTGCTACTAAATATATACATATACAGTTTCCCATAAAAGAATCGTTTATCTTAAGTTAAACGAAATCGTAGTACCATGAGATTGAACTTAGTTCTAAGATTAACATTATGGATTATCTCCAATCTTAATGAAATTGTATATACTTTCATGCAAGACATGTTATTCTTCTCACTTCGCACTCTAACCTTTCTACGATATCTAATTCCAATCTCATGGCGTGTATCTTTAATCAAACCCCCGTAATACATCGCCTATAGAAGTCATACGTCATAATCAGTCAATAAGTTGCCATTGTGTTGTGTGACTTATTGAGTCGGTTTTTTATTTTTATTTGTGATATTTGTCCTCCCTGTCATCTTCCTAACAGGCTATATAATAGAACATTTAGACTAACTACACAGTTAGAAATAACTGCAGTAATTAAAGATCTACGATTTGAAATTCATCCAACCCTAAATGTCTTGAGAGATTCACCGCGCTCCGCAACAGTTGATGTAATAAAGCTACATCTGCAAAATAACTTTTCAGGTTTAAAGATTCTATGAACGAAATTAATTGACGATTTTTTTATGATACCAAACGACGGGACGTATAAATTGTAAGCCTGTTGTTAAGCGACATGCCTCTCTTTTTAAATTGTAAAGATCTGAGCCCGCTACCCAGAGATATAAAATTGACGAGTGTCATATATCGAGTTTGTATATTTTCGCGATTGTTACACGTGGAAAATCAAACTATAAATTATTTGTCGTTATTTTTGTTTTACAAAATCACGTCACTGCGCGTTCTACCTATTTCTGCCGCCAAGCAATAAAGTGAGCATTTAAATTAATAAAAAAAAACAAAAAATCCATTTATTTTCAGACAGCAAGAGTCGATAGTTTGTTAATAAGCAACCTTATACTATATTAGCAACAACTGACTGTATGGTGAATTTATGGTCATATTGTATATGAAGCGTTCATTAAAATTTTCAAAATCAAGATAGACATTAAAATATTCAAAATACAATAATAAAAAAAATAAAAAAATAAAAAAAACAAAATACTAAAATTTACAATTAATAATGCATTAATGCGTTCCGGTTTTGAAGAGCGCTGGTGAAATTACAGGCACATAGGACTTAAGAAATGAAACTATTTTTTAACCGACATGAAAAAAAGGAGGTTCTCAATTCAACTGTTTTATTTTTAATGTATGTTAGGCGATTACTCTGGGATTTGTGAACCGATTTCGATGAGTCTTTTTTTGTTGGAAAAAGGGTACCTCAGTATTGGTTCCATATGTAGTAAATATTCCACCTCTAAGGGTGACAAACTAGGGGATGAATTCGGTGTCGCGCACTTTTCTGTAACCGATTTTAATAAAACTTGGCAAATACAACATGTATTCCAGGAATTTCGAGGGCGGTTTTTTTTTTATAAAAAAGTTACGATTATTCGGATCTAAATAGCGTACCTATATATGTTTTTGTTGTTGCTTCTTTTTTGGTAAACCATGTTCAAGTCCTGGTATTTTTTTTTAACTTGGTGTGCACCCTATTTATATATCTGTTTCTTTCAAACAAACCAACGCTTCGGAATCTTGATAGGTCCATATTTATATCCGAAAAAAATACTTTCATGTCCATTTTTTTTTCTTGTATATTGTAACATTTTTTTTCTTTTACATGTAATGAATGATAAGATGTTTTACACCATGATAATATTTTTAAATGCTCCACTAGTCTGTATTTATTAAAAAAAATTGTCGTAATTATTAAAACAAAGATCGATCGCAATGAAAATCCCCTGCGATCTGACAGGACTAGAACCTGTATCTATTTTACCAAAGGCAAATGCTCTATATATTTTTTACATAATATCAAGTAACGAGCCGAACAAGTAGTGCACCTGAAGGTAAGCTACACGCCTGTCGATAACAGTTGCAGAGCTTTAAGCCGCAAAGATCTGAGGGGAACTGCCACTGCGCCCGTCACCCTGAGACATAAGTTGGCAAGTCCCATGTGCCTGTAATTTCACCACCACCTTCAAAACCGGAACACAGTAATGTGGCGGCAGAAATATCGAGTCAGTAGACATTATGAATTTTTCTATGCGTTCATTATTGTTTTTGGTTTTAACGTTTTCTTTTATTATCAACATTTAAGTATTTTTCTTGCTTAGTGTATTGTAATATTTGTGCTATGTTTTGCATGTGAAATTAACTCTATTCAATTATTTATTATTATTCTTTTTAAAGCGTCTATCGGTTTAGTAATCAAAACAACAGTATTTTTGAAACAAAGACAGCGTTTATAATGCCCATTGATATAATTCAAAATTTATTGTTTTCGTCTTTTTATTTTTAATTTTGATTTTAACGCTATTGATGACGACATCAATAAAAATAACATAAATTACAATTCAGTATACTGAACTGTATTTTTTTTTAATCCATTTCGGTATTTATCTAATCTTATCAATACCTATTTTAGATTTAAGGTATTGTATACGCTTCTACACTTAATAAGACTCCGATTGATATTGCAAAATTTGCCTTTTTGTGTTTTTTTATGATACCAAATGAGGGGACGAACAGATCGTGTGTGCAGTGGTAAGCAGTTGCAATGCTACACAGAACTTTAAATTGCAAAGATTGGATGGGCACTGCCCCCGCGCCCGTCACCCTGAAACATAAGTTGACAAGTCTCATGTGCCTGTAATTTCTCCACCACACTTACCCTTCCAAACCGGAACGCAGTTACGCTCAGATTACTGCTTCGCGGCAGAAATAGGTAAGGTAGCAGTATTTCTCTGGACGAATACTTCCGTTGCTACTAAAATTCACGAGGTTTAAAACTATAAGTGAAACAAAAAGTTTATTCTAAATGTTATTCATATTATACACCTTCTGCGTACTTGGATGACAAAAATCCGTGGTAGTGACCCTTTTAGCTCTTGCAGATAGTCTCGATCTGTGATGTTTGAAATAAATATTGTTGATGATAAACGTGTACAATTTTATATATTTACAAAGAGTAACCCCTATTGTTTCTTGCTCATTCTTCTCAGGGGAATTTGCCTTACGAATGAGCTGTAGAGTTTTAATCAATATGACGATTTCAAGTGTAAGTTGCTTGCCCATTCAATAAAGATTATTTGATTTTGAGTTTGCTACATTTGTTAATTTTGGTTATTATTAAATTTACTTTTTTTAAATTATTTGCAATTTAAATTTTAAACCTAGATGTTGGCACAAGGCAATGTGTGTTATGTAATGTTTCTGTATGTACACGTCGATATCTAAATAAATAAAGAAATAAATTTTGCTTTAAAATGTCATAAAAATACGATACGTTTTACATAATCATCATGAAAACCAATTATAATAAAAATACCATAATGTTTCACATTAAAAAGTATTCCCGTAAATGTTAAACTAAGACATTTTGATATATTATTTGTTCAACATGTTCCTTTTGTAAAAATATGTTTTCCCATCTCCTCCAGTAGAATTTGTACAAGATAATAATCGAAGACAATTGTAATAATTTCTAAAAGAAAAATTAAATGTAATACTTACGGTATTAAAAGAATTTTCAACTAAACAACACTATTGTTTGAAAAGTTATTTAAATTTTGAATTCTATATTTTCCAATGACCGATTTACAGAGCGTTGTAGCACTGATGCATAAGACCGTAGAACGTCGCTTATATAGGGGATGTAGCGCGGCGGACGAGCGGACCTGCCGATGCCGGGCGGATGGCGGTTGCGCACACCACGACAGACGGAGCGGACATGCACTGTAAAATGAAGATCACCACAATAATGGCGTAACCCATATCTAATTTTTTTTCTAAAACATCACTTTAAATTATATTAAAATACATCATTATTTTATTTAATCTGTAGTAGCGGTAGAATTCCTTGTGAAAGAGTCCGTATTTCCGAAAATACTGCAACCATACTTGTTTCTGCCACCAAGCAATAATGTGTGGGCATTACTGCGTTCCAGTTTAAAAGTTTAAGGGTGCTGGTGACACTACATCCCCTGAGGTCTTTACGATTTAAAGCTTTGACTGCCACAGCAACTGCCATGCTGCAGTCGCACGATTGACGCCCAGTCACATGATACCTCAAAAAAACCCGTCGTCTTATTGTTCGTCTCATAATCATGTTATTTTTCGCACAATCTATCCATAATTTATTTGGCCTTTCTCTCAATTATTTATGTCATACTTAATAATATTCCCATACTGCCCTCATTGTCATAACTAACGCATTTTCATGTCGGTAGCTATCGAGATATTAGCACGTAAAGTTTTTTACTAATAAAAAATATCAATTACACTTATTTAGCTTAACTACACAACCGAAAATAAATAAGATATTAAAAAAACCGGTCATAACGGGTTTTACATCTTATTTTACTGATCTCAGATATGTTAATAACTCAATTTCGATAAAAATATTGATTACGTTACTTATGATAAGGAGGGAAGCAGCAGCTATCTTTATCGACAATACGTAATAGTGTTCTCGCCCATTTTTTATACAATTTTACGCCTTTAAACGCCTTTCTTTCGATCCTTGGTTTCGTCATTCCGCTTATCGCTCCGCCCGTCACAGCGCCCGCACAAAACAGCTCTAGGACATAAACTAGAAGAGCATTTACGTAAATAGTTTTGATTTTCCTGATAAACTTCTGATCGCTCGTTATAGGCGGTCGTACAACGATTTGCTTTTTTATATTTTCAACTGTCGCATTCGGTACTGTCTGCGGGTAGTATTGAACACAAGTACTTAACGGCGCATTTACACCAAGTCGTCAGGCAAACTTCAGGCTTCGCTTTCCTGCCAAAAACGGCAAACTACCTGTTGGAAATAGTGAGTCGTCTGACAACCGGGTGCATCGCCTTCGGCAAGGCGAAGTAGACATTCTCAGCAGACGACCCGATGTAAATATATTATTTTTTTATATACAAAAATAAGTGCTCATTTAATAATAATAATAATAATAATAATAATAATAATTTATTCGCATTAAGTGTGGTGTACATAGTTGGCTTAATATATAATATTTCTATTAACAGGTTCTCACACTTAGCTGGTAATAGCATGCAAATTTACCTTAAAATGAGTATATCTATCATAATTATTAAAATATCTTATACATTTAAAATAATAAGTCTCAATAATGTCAAATTTAAACAAATACCTAATTATTTTTGTAGTCAAAAAATTCTTCAATTGAGTAAAAACAACAGTTAGACAACCATTTGGATAACCTATTTCGGAACATTGTATTTGGCGTATTTTTTAAATCAATCGGTAGCGAATTATATATTTTGACACACATAGGTAAACAGTTCATAAAAAATACAAGGCGAGCGGTTTAGATACAGACTACAAAGCCTTTTCGGAACACAGGGCTAAAATAAAAAATATGATAAAGCTAGCTCATAAGCAGTATAGTGATCGTGTACAAAATCACTTACTTAAACAACCTAAAGCATTCTGGAATTATATAAAAGATAAAAGAGGTAACAGGAGTTCGCATAGTATTTTAAAAGATGGGTCGGTTTTAAGTGAAGATCAGTGCGCCGGGGAATTCGCTAGGTACTTTGAGTCGGTGTATAGCACAGTCCGGGCTCGGCTGGACGCGGGCGCGAGCGCGGCGCGCGCCGGCGGCGGCAACGCGGCCGCGCGAGTGCACCTCGAGCGCCTGGAGATTGGAGAGGTCGACGACGCGCTGCGCCGGCTGAGGCCCAAGACCTCCTCGGGGCCGGATGGGATACCGCCTTTTGTATTCAGGGACTGTCGAGCGGTACTAGCCAAGCCTTTACTGCACATTTTTAATTTATGTTTAAGCTCCGCAGTGTTCCCGGAGAGATGGAAAGTCACTCGAGTCGTCCCGGTTCCGAAGGGGAGGGCGTCAAGTAGTATTGAGGGGTACAGGCCCGTGGCAGTGCTGTCGACGCCTGCGAAAGTCTTGGAGTCAGCCATACACAAGAGCCTGTACGAGCAGGTGAGTGGGCAGCTAGCGGACGAGCAGCACGGGTTCCGTGCAGCGCGTAGCACCACCTCCAACCTCCTTAATTACATGGCGGATGTCGTTCCGGCGGTGGACAGAGGGGTGCAAGTAGATGCCGCCTATTTTGATTTCAAAAAAGCTTTCGACCTAGTCGACAATGACGTACTGCTGGATAAATTAGCGAGCGTCGGCTTCACCCCTCACCTTCTGCAACTGTTCGCCAGTTACATGGCCGAAAGACAGCAGTATGTGGAGTTTGCTGGGCACGTATCGGATCCGTATTTTACAAGATCTGGCGTGAGTCAGGGCAGTAACCTTGGGCCCCTGGAATTCTTGTTAATGATTAATGATTTGCCAAGCGTAGTAAGGGAGGCCAGGTGCTTATTGTTTGCGGACGACCTCAAACTGTATCTGCCTGTAGAGACACCAGAGGACTGCCAGAGGTTGCAGAGCGACATTGACAGGGTGGTAGCTTGGAGCGAGAAAAACAGATTACAGTTTAATACCGCTAAATGTGAGGTCATGACTTTATCTCGCGCGCGAAATGTTGTCATACACAATTATGCGATTGGGGATGTGGCTATGCGGAGGGTTTCAGAAGTAAGAGATCTGGGTGTCCGGCTGACTACTGGTTTATCTTATGGCGATCATATTACCCACATATGTAAAAAAGCATATCGCAATTTAGGGTTTGTACTCAGAAGAGCTCAGGGGTTTACAAACACTGCAGCAATTATTTCTTTATATAACGCATTAGTCAGGAGTCAGCTGGAGTGTAACGCAGCTGTATGGTCGCCACAAGAAGCGAAGTACAAACTTATGTTGGAGAGGGTACAGAACAAGTTTATTAGGTATATGTACTTAAAACAGTATGGAATCTATCCTTTTTATCCGCTGCGATATCCTAATTTGTTTATTCTGGGAATGGTGGGGTATAGCGAGCTAAGGGTCAGAAGGGAGTTTGCCTTGGTTTGCTATATCCACAAGTTGGTGAGGGGGAAAGTTTACAACGCGGAGCTCCTTCTCCATGTTCAGTTTAGCGTACCAAACGAGTACGCGGGGCGGCGACGCAGGCCGCCGCTGCTGGCGCTGCCGCGAGCGCGCACCAACCTGCTGGCTGGGGCGCCGCTCACGCGCGCTTTGCGCACTCTCAACGCGGTAGCCGAGAGAGTGGATATTTTTACGTGTGCTCTGAGTGATTTCTCAAAAACTGCATTATTTATAATAAGTTATACATGAATAAGTTACGTATATTTAGGATAGTACATTAGATAATAAGATAGTTACGCTATCGAATTAGGTTAAGTTTACCTGTAATGTTAGCGTAAGAGAAAGATAAATAAATAAATAAATAAATAAAAGTTACGACGATACACTTCTCTTTTTATGTTGACCGGTACAGTAAGTCTGTCCGGAAACCTCGTGTTATATAAAGGTTCATGTCGTTTGAATAGTGAATAATTTTGCTTGACGAAGGTACAGGCACTCAAAATATAAATACTAGGCACTGTTAATAAATTTAATTTCTTAAAAAGTGGTCTGCACGAAGTTATAGGTGAAATGTTGCAAATCGATCTGATGCTGCGCTTTTGAGATATAAGCACTCTGTCAATGTTATATGAATTGCCCCAGATCAAAATACCGTAAGCAATCACTGAAACAACATATCCATGATAAGCCTGAAGAGCAACAGTTTGGCTAACAGTTTTAGATAGACGCCAAAGAGCATACGAAAAACGGTCAATTTTAGTACATACTTGGTCAATGTGTGAAGTCCAGGAACATCTACTGTCTACAATGATACCAAGAAACTCTATCTCATCACTACTGTTGATTTTTTGGCTATTGTATGCAATGTTCAAGTCTATACTCCTTGAGTTTACATTGCAGAAATTAACTGCCTTAGTTTTGCTTAGATTAACGTTTAAATTGTTCAATCGTAACCAATCAATTACATCAGCAACAGTTTTGTTTAACTCCAGATTATGAAATTCTCTGTCAACATTGGGAACCAGTACGGAAAGGTCGTCTGCATACAGTATGCATTTATGCTCTGTTATCGAAGGGAGATCATTAATATAGATCAAGAATAGAAATGGGCCCAGGACGCTTCCTTGAGGGACACCCATGTTAATTTGCCGCGGTTTTGACCTAAATTTATTTGTATCCCGTTTCTGAGTTAGCCTTGTCACCTCTACACATTGCTGTCTATCCTTGATATAACTGTTCAACCATGCGAGAGCTGTACCTCGTATGCCGTAAAAATCACATTTGTCTAATAGTATATTATGGGACACAAAATCAAACGCTTTGGTCATGTCAAAGAAAATTCCCGTTGTGAGTGTGCTATTATTAAAATTTTCGGTAATACTATTAACTAACTTAAAAGCAGCAGTAGTTGTCGATCTACCTTTCTGAAAGCCGTGTTGGTCAGCATTTAGTATACTGTATTTTTCAAAAAAGGCAGTAAGTCTAATGTGCATAGCTTTTTCAAAGACTTTGCTAAGTACAGGTATTAGAGCAATTGGACGATAGTTATTTATATCCTTTTTGTCACCTTTTTTGTGAATTGGCGTGATGACTGTAAACTTTAGTTTATGTGGAAACACTCCTTCTGTAAATGAAATATTAATCAAGTGACTCAAAATTGG